GGGAATTTTCTCAAGCACTACGATTTGATGCTTTTGCCCAAGGTTGATATGATCATTCGAGGCCACATCGAGAGGCTGGAGGCGTTGATGGAGGATTTAGTGATGCTTTACGGATACGAGCCCAACGCCGCGCGGCTGCAGATGGTGGTGAATCGAATTCACTCTTTGTACGAATCCCCAACAACGGAGCTGAATCGAAAACGGGTGGTGGTGGTGTTAACGATGGGTGGGGTTTCTTTTCGCACCAAATCGCACGAGATCCGGCGCTTTGTGGAGACGCGCTTTTGCGAGGATCACGTCTTCAACGTTGTTCAGGATACCGATTTCATCCGACTGGATGTCCTAGATGCCTCGGATGATAGTGTGGTGTATGGCTCGGTGGAGTTCAGCTGTCTGAACATGCAGCGAGGGACGCCGATCGTGCGAAGGCTCTATCTTGTTGGGAACGCCGGCAAAGCGAATGCGTATCTTAGCGGGATTATCACGGTTTCTCTCTTTAGCAATGACTTGGGCCACCTCTACAAGGTGGACGAGGAGCTGGAGGATGTTTATACAGGGCGTCTAAGGCGTTATGCCCAGCGATGGTTCGCCGAGAGCTTGCATTGTGTGAACCTCGCCACGGCCGCAATTTTTGACATGCAGAGTTTTATGGCCGAGCTTTCCGTTGCTTACAAAAAAGAGGAACCAACCTATGCGGTTTACATGACGATACTAGGGTGTCAGCAGCTCCTGTCCGGGTTTCGAGGAATCAATCCATACGTGGTCATTCGCCTGGATATCGATAGCTATAGTACAAGGTGGATAAAGGATTCGACCGAACCGGATTACTTCGAATTTACCGAATTCTACTGCGATCAGCTCCGAGGAAAGTACATCACCCTGATTGTGATGAGCCATTCCGATATTGGCCACGACAAGGAGATCGGTTATGTGAATATTCCACTGGAAAACGTGCAGCTCGGGCACTTCTACCACGACGTCAAACCCCTTCAGCCCTTCAAGAAATCGCGCAAAGGGAGCGAACCGGACCTCAACAAGGAGGGTTTAGTCCATCATCAGCCCATCCCCCACGACCCCCGCGCGGGCTACGCGGACAAGAAGAAGATGATCGGCACGGTGGGGTTTAAGTTCTCCATCATCAACCTGGAGAACCTGGACTACACGCGGATGCAGGTGATTCGGCGCGAGTACGCGCACCTGTACAGCGACGCCGCCGCCCGGGAGGGCGGGTTTGAGGGGTCGCAGAAGCTCGATCGCTTCGCGGGGCATGGGCGGACGCTGAGCATGAGCGACACCGTCTCGGGGGAGTTCCTCAACCCGCACAACGCCCCCACGACCCCGGGCCGTCTGCTGCGGTACATCGGCTCCAACCTGCGGGCCGTGGGGCGGGTGCGGAAGCTCGTCGTGCGGCGCTCCGTCGAGCTGGTGGAGCAGCTCCAGCGCAACGTCGGGCTCCCGAACGACAGCAGCTCCTCCAGCGCGACCGCCGCCGCGCCGGAGCTCGCCGACGCGGTCCTGACGGCCGCCTGCCCGACCTTCAACATCATGGACCGCTTCT